CTGAGCCATAGGGTTGCTGTGAGCATAGGAGATGCAAAGTACATAGGGGCATAAATGCTCAGAAAGGGGTAACTGTTTAGAGGTCTGGAATTAATACCGGGAAAAGAGACATCCTTGTGGAAAAGTCGTTACTTATATTGGAAAACAGTGCCCTAAAGTAGACTGTCAAGAAAGCTTAGGAGGGTTTATTTCCCAGAAATTACTTGCATAAAAGCAAATCTATGTTCATTTGCATATCAATGCATTAGAAACCTATGTTAGGTTATCATAATAGATATAAAGTGATGAGTATAATGTAAGGCCCCTTACTTTAAGAGGTTTATAATATAATGAGGTAGAAAAGGTCCATGAAGTTGTATATCCTAATTTAAGATATTTTTAGAGGTACTAGAAAATTGCCAAACAGATTTCTGAGGCTGCTTTTCCTAAGAAATATGGGCACTGAAGGAGATGGGAGGATTCAGGAAAGATTTTTTTTTTTCCTCTGAGAATCAGAGTGAATCTGAGGGTCAGTTCAACCACCTCAGCCTGTTCAGTGGTGTGGGTTGGAGCTGTGTGTTCAGCATTTTCATGTTCTGGGCAGGAAGGGGACCTAGGCCATCTCTCTGGGGCTCTTCCCACTGGTGACAACTACGCTCTGGCACTATGTCTGCTAGAGCATTTGCTCAGTCATACACTCTGGATCTAGTCCGAGCCCTGCACCTAGGTCTTGTTGGACAGGGGCCCTGGCCTCTGGCCTAAAGCCAAGTCAGCATCCTGTATCCCTTACGTGGCCTTCCTATCTATGACAACTGCTGTCTCCATGCATGCTCTTAGCAAAGCTTACTTATGCAGATCGCATTAGCTGCTCTGTGCTCTTTTGCTCCATCACCTGGACTGGGGCAGAGGTCTTCCTCCACAGTCAGCCAGTCCTCTGGCTTCAGTGAGTGTTCCCAGCACATCTTTATGCTGGTGTTCCCCCTCTCCTCTTCCACAGGACCCTTGGCAAGCTGCACAGCTAGGCCAACAGATTTAAAATAGCAACCAGGGGGAGCAAGGCAAGGTGGGGGGCTTCAAGATGCAGCCAGAAAGCAGTAGCTGTGGGTAGCAGGGCCCCAAGAAGCCAGCGAGGATGAGTTCAGGTATGCAGTTTACCTCACTGCAGAAAAGAACATCTTTTCTACACACCAAGTAAACATAGTGTATTTCATGGTTCTAATGTCAGCCCCAATTTGCAGATTAGAAAGCAGAGCCCAGGGCAATTGGATCACTGGCAAAGGCCTTGGAGGTGGTAAGTGATGGAGCTGGGCCTACACTCATGGCTCTCACTGCGGTCCCCTGGGAAGTGTGTATTAGTGAAGTCACTGCAGGCAGAGCTGCAGGGAGCAGAGGCCAGTACTAATGTCAAAAACCTCCAGGCCATAAAGGAAGGGAAATGAGGTCATCTCCAGAGACTGGGCTGGGGAGCTTAGTCATCTTCACAGAACTTCACAGGACTGGAAAAGGGTCAGAATGGCCACCAAGGAGGGTCAGGAAAATCACAAACAGGGCTCCTGGGAATGCTGGCCAGCAGCAGGGGCCCAACTGGCATGGCCTAATGTGAATTATGTAGTGGGACCAATGAGTGGACTTTTATGATCTTCCCAGCCAGCCTTGCTGTCCCTGCACACAGGACCACCAATGAGTCACTGTTGCCTTACTGTGTCCTCAGGACCCCACGCTTGACTACAAACCCGGAAGTGCAACTTTAAGTGCAGCCAAAACCATCTGTAGGGAGGGGATCATGGGAGCCCTGGGGCCAGGAATGGGTCAGGTGGGAGTGGTGGGGGTGGGTGTGAGGAAGTGAATGGTTAGGCCTTGCTGAAGAGAGGACCAGGAGGAGGCCTGGAAAATCGAAATGAGGGCCTGGGAGAATTAAAAGGGCCTGGGGGAATGGAATAAAAAAGAAGCCATTTGCAAAATCCATGCTTTGAGAGCCACATGGGATAGGCACATAGGAAACAGCCGCTTCTCCACTCACCTGGCGTGAGTAATGACTTGTCAGGCAAGAGGAAGGGGACTTTGATTCTGTTTGCTACCAAAGAAAGCAGCGGACTGCGCAGGCTGGTAAGACTTGTGGTGCAGCAAAGCCCTGGTGTTCACTAATGAGGCTGTATTACAACCACACTCTGCTTTCCAAAACAGCACCCTCAGGAGAAAAGAAATAAAGTCATTTTTCTTTGGAGGCAGAAGATTTAACATTGCTTAACAATAACGTTTAACATCGCTTAGCCCTTAGCCCCAGGCAACCTTTTAACTACCAAGTGCAAGGGACTGTCTTCTCCCTGCCTGGCCAGGGCTCTCTCTTGGCTCTATTTTGTGTGGTGTCATTTAGCTTGGCAGCAGCTGTCTGGACCTGCTTTAAAGATGACAGAGTTCCATGAAAGCTTAGGAGGATGCCCTTTGACTGGGGCTTCCCCTCCCCTAGGCACTGTGGGGCAATTCTCCAAATCTGGCATATAAATCAGTATTGTTGAGCTTCTCTTAAAATTCCTGTGACTCCCCTCTACAAACACAGGAACCAAACCAGCACATGAAGTCCCTTACAAGGGTGGCCACTGACTTCTGATAGAATTATTTCTATTTTTAATAAAAAATTTAACTCCATAAATATTTCAAAGCTTCTTGCTCTGTGACAAAGAAGGATCTGGTGCCTATGGAGCTGTGTTCACCTCCCTCTTGGCAGAGACAGAAGTGGGCTGGTGTGGTTCAAGAAAGAGGACAGTAAAATCTCTTAGAGAGGGGAGGACCAGGGTCCGTATGAAGGACACAGAGCCACATCTGCACACCTTATCAGAAGGTGGCCGTGTGTCTCACATCCACATCCTGCACTCCTTGGGGCAAATCTAGGTCCATGAACTGGACATAATGCCTGCCAGGGGACTTTGAGTCTTCTCTTTAGAGTATGCGATAGAAATTGAGGTTTGAACCTCCCCACCAAAGAACAAATGCCAGGGACCTCCCTGCCTTTGTCTGAACCCTATTTATTCTCCATCATGGCAGTTTCCTGTTGCCAGGTAGCTACAACAGTCTGCACGTGAAATTACTCACTGCTGCCACTGTGATTATGGACAAATGCACCTGTCGCCAGGAATTATTTTCGGCTGGAGATGCTTCCTTTTGAGCCACAGTTACATTCTTGGGGCTGGCAGGATTTTGTCAATTCCTCCACAGGATGACTGCTCCGGAGCCACAAATGGCATTAATTAACATTCTGCCTTTGTCAGAAAACCCCTTCTGCAGTGTTTACTCCTGAAACAGTTGTTTAGAGTCAGCCATGATTGGGCATTTCAGGGCTAATTAGTGAAAATAAATAGGACTTGGAAATTCAGAGGGCTTCATATTAACAATTACTACTGTAAGCATTATCATAAAAGGCTGATTCTTTGCCTCCTTTCTAAACAGTTGAGTCCTGAGGATAGATTGGCACTTCATCTTCAATTTTCACTCTCCCACCCTTGACACATAGTAGGTGATCACTAGATACATATGAAATGAATAAATGCGTCAGATTTATGAAAGTTTAAATGTTACATCTGTGCTTTTGATTTGAATTTAAAATATCCATCTCTGCACTCATAGTACAAGTTATCTAAGAAGGGATTAAACTGTTTCCAGTTTTCCTGTTTTCCCTTCTCATAAGAACCTATGACTTTCCATCTGTCCTAACCATAATTTGCACACACTTCAACAATGAAAGCCGGAAGACTTACACTTACCATGAATCTTGGAAATGACTTCCATTTTTTAAAAAAGCAAAATAAAAGGACAGAGACAAAATATGAATGGAAGAAAAAAATGGATGAGAAAAAAATCCACTATGAGACAGCATTAAAAAACAAAGGAATACAGGAAAATAAATACAGTGTTTAGCAGCTTTTAAAAGATTGTGTTTGGGGTATCCTGCCTAATCAGTGTTAAAAATTGGTTCTCTGCCAGATTTGAGATTTTATGACATTTAAAAATCAACACATTCCTTGTAAGAGCAGATGGTCACTTAGGCCATGCCTGACGTAATGTTTAGGATGTTCCTTTTTTCTAGTCATGTGCAGAAGTATAGCCAACAGGCAGCTAGGAACAGGAACTCTCTCTCTCGAGGCAGCACTTAGCAGCTCAGCTTTGATAACAATGCAGGTCTACTTGGAGATGCTTCCAGCACCTCTTTCCAAGGTGACATTTTGAAACACTGCCATTTTGTAGCTGGCCTTAACCTTTCTTTGTTTCTCTTTTAAACTCACTAATTCTCACCCTCTCAACTTGTCTAGTTCCCATGGTAGCTGGATGGTAAGTCATCTTGGAAAGGTTTCCTCTTTGTCACGTGCTCCAGATAGTGGACTAACGTTACTCTTTATCTCATAGATAAAAGCACCAACCTTTGAGAACTGCATCTCATTTTCAGGGGTGTCTAGTTACCGCATAAGTGGATCATGTTAGGTCACTGTTGCCAAGTGAACTTTTCTCACACATTTGTTCCTTCCCCCGCTGTCTGTGTCTCTCAGCACTATTCACTCATTGCCTTGAGGAGGCAGTCAGATTCTAAATCAAGCAAAAAGAAACACCTTCCCAGCTTCATATTTTTTACTCTGTCACACCCACACAAAGCACCAAGGTTAAGATTGGCCTGCCCTCCCTCATGGGTAACTCCTAGGACGCAGGATTTACTATTTTATTGTCTCTAAGCTTGGCGCAAGATGTTCAATACCGTTTTTATAGCAATGGCTTAGGATTTCCATTTGGTATCCAATATTCTTGCTGACATGTTCAATTGCAATGATATACTATTTTCTACCCTTAAAAAATAACCCACAAGTGTTTCAATTATTAGCACAGTTGTGAAGATGGCACAGAGGCTGCAGCAGACGGCAGTGAGGCAAAATTATAACATGTTCCCTATTTCAAAACCAGATTTCTGTTTCATGCGGACACCTCTAAAGACTTCATTTGTGGGTGTTCTGGTGATGGGAGGCCCCTCTATGCTCTACCTGGGTAAGGATGCGTACTGTCTCTCCATCCCCTCAAAGCGGAGGTTGTGTGCATTCCCATCTGGACTCTTTCCAGACACCTGTGGAGAGAAAAGTAATTAGAGATGAAGATCCATTATACATCCCAGTTACTGTCAATGCAGCTAAAAATTCTAATCAGTGCACAAAGCTGCAGCCGCCTGCCAAAAATCAACCATGGAAAAGCAGGCAAGAGCTCAGCATCGCTATAGGAATTGATGATTGTGCCCCAAACAGAGCATTAGCAATAAAGTCACTTCTTTCAAAAATGGTCACTGTCCACTTGCATCCTTCCTGTATCCATGCCTCTTCTACTTTTTCAGAGGTAGTTTAGTTTTTAGGACACCTTTAGGATTACAGAAAATTTGAGTGGATAACACACAGAGCTCTCTGTACCCAGTTTTCCTCCTGCTACTGTCTTACATTTACGGTACATTCTTTACAGTTAATAATCAATAGGATATATTACTCTTAGTTGAAGTCCATTGTTTATTCAGCATTTACTTATTTTCTGTCCCCACCTAGGATATCATATTCCACTTAGTCATCTCATCATCAGAGGTCTTTCTTGACTGTGTCAAGGACCCTGTTTCTAAAAGCATCTTTTCTGTGACCCTTTCTTCACTGGCAGGGATGGGTAGGAACAAGTTACCTACTGCATAGCACCTGCAGAGCCCTTCCTGACCACCCTGTACTTCACCTGGCTTCCTCCCTATGGGCATGTGTATAGATGCAGTGAGCAGCCTACTCTCAAAGCAAGTAAGGTAGACACACTGAAATTTTCTGCATTAGGATACAAACCTTAATTTAGACCACTGACCTTTTAACCAAAGACAAGAGACAATGATGGTGATGGACAGGTGAGGGTTGCACAAAAAGCAAAGCAACAGAAGAGAACGACAGAAGCACTATCCTTGGCCACTCCTATCTAAAGTTTTGCTTTATTTGGAAATGTCCTCTTATGTCAGACAAAGTCATGTGGAGACCAGTACTATACTAAAGATTATTAAAGGTAGACAGTGGAAAATGCTCTGCTCAAATATGGCTTAGACACTCAACTTTTTCTTGTAGCCTTGTAGCTTTCATTTTCAGCACTGCTGCTGGCCTCCCAAGGTGGCTTAGAACCTGGTACCTGAAGAAGGGATGCTGTTCCTGTGAGCTCCTAACCAGTTTAGTGGACTTACAGTGGGATACCAAATAATGCTCATCCTTGAGAAACCTTCTGTTTTGTTGGAAGAAAACCAAACATTAAGAGCAAAATCAAGAATGATACCCAACACTGTCTGAACACTACCACGATGCTACAACAGTAGCACACATGGAGCCTGTAGGTCAGTGGTGGGAACTGATGGCATGTGTGCCAGAGTGGGCATGCAGCCCCCTCTCTGCCTGCACTGAGCTGTCACCCCAGCATCATTCATCAGCTGAGCACTGGATAACCGTGCACATAGGGGCAGTGTTGGCATTTTGTAATATGTAAGTTACTTCTGGATTGTAGTTTGGGTACATGGTCTCTAAAAGCTGCTCTGTCGCTGCTGTAGGTATAAAGAGAAACTTCATGGAGGAATCAGAGCTTTGGCCCAGTTTTAAGTGGTGGGTGTCATGACTGCACATGAAAAATTATTCTGATCCTCACCAACTGTAAAATTTGCGTGCTTTTCTTTTACTATCAATACATCATTAATGCAATTATTTGATTATTATTACTGAGCACCTACTGCATCCCAATGCCACCTACTGTATCCTAATGCCGCTGGATTTCAGGTGATGAAGAAGTCTAGCTCTGTGCTTGGGGAGACAGGTGGTGAACAATTATGCTACAGTGTGATCACCATGCCAGGGGAAGTCTGAGGAGCAGGCACACCCGGGGAGTTGAAGATAGCTTCATAGGGGTGCTGACACTTCATCTGAAACTTGAATATCAATGAGGAGTTGTTCTGGTGGAGAAAGATGAAAGAGTAACAGGAAGGAGACTTCTAAGCAGGAAGAACAACAGTGAAACAACATGAAGCTGTAGAAAAAGGCACTGTGGTTTCATGGGGCTTCACGATTTTGGTAAGGTCAGAAACTGACTAAGAAGAAAAGGATGCCATTAACTAATAATCCAGTGCTGCTAGCATGATACCGATGGCTCTTCCTGTGTTTTAGAGCAGTTTCAAGTTCACAAGAAAACAGAAGGCAGAGACAGACTTTCCAGAACCCTTACCTCTCCCTCTGCAGTGCCACCCCCATGAGCAGCATTCCCAGGGAAGCAGTGCAGGTGGTACAGCTGATGGACCCACTCTGACACTCCAGAATCACTCAGCATCAATGGTTTATGCTCGTATTGTCTCTTGGGGTTGTGTGTTCTGAGCATCTGGACAAATAGATCATGGCAAGTGTCTACCATTACGTACCACTGAGACAAGTTTCACTGCCCTGAAAACCCTCAGAACTCTGCCTTCTCTCCTTTTCCTGCCCACTCCAGGAAGCCACTCATCTTTTCATTGTTCTCATAATTTTCACTCCCAAAATGTCACAAATCTGGAGCTACACATTATGCAGGCTTTTCGGGTTGGCTTATTGCTCCCAGTCACACACATTTCAATTTCTTCCATGTCTTTTCCTGGTTTCATAGCTAACTTCTCTTTAGTACCAAATAATATTCCATTTCAGAGGAGTAGTGCTGATTATCCACTCATCTACTGCAATACGACTTGATTACTTCCAAATGTTGCCAATTAGGAATAAAGCTGCTATGAACATTTGTGTGCAGGTTTTCATGTGGACAACAGTTTTCAATACCTTGGGTAAATATCCAGGAGTGTGACTGCCGGATCACAAGGTAAGACTAGGCTGAGTTTAGCTGACAAGATACTGCCAGCTGTCATTCAAAAATGCTATGTGCCACTCAGCGATAAATGAGAGTTCCTGTGGCTCTACTCCCTCAGCAGCATTTAGTGCTATTGGTTTGTGGATTTGGGGCACTCTAATAGGTGCACAGTGCTATCTCATTGTTTCAGTTCACTTTTCCCCTAGGGCATAAGATGTGGAATAGCTTTGCATATGCTTATTTGCCATTTGTATTTCCTTGGAGAGGTATCTGTTAACGTCTTTAATACATTTTGATCAAATCATCTGTTTGTGGGCCAGCAAGAGAGCTCAGCAGTCTAAAGAGCCTGCTTAGGTAAACTTAGGCAAATGCACAGGGACCTCAGTTCAATCCCTGGCAATATATGCTGCACCTGCCCTGCCCCCAGGGTGGGCTGAGCCAGCCACACACACACACACACACACACACACACACACACACACATCATTTGTTATTGTTGAATTTAAAGAGTTATTTGTACACTATAAATAAATCATTTATCAGATCAGTCTTTTGCAAACATTTTTGCCCAGTCTGTGGCTTTCTCATTTTCTATATAGTGTCTTTTGCAGGAGAGAAGCTTTTAATTTTAATGAAGTTCAACTTATCAATTCTTTCTTTTATGTTCTGTGCCTATGGTGCTGTTTTCTCCTGGGAGTTTTCTAGATTTGAAGATTCTTCATGCCATAGTATGGCAAGTCTAGCAACGGTATGACTCAGAAATAATAAGTCCTTTTTTAAGGGCTTTTCTGAAAGATGAAGACAAGAGAGTGACAGAATAATGTTAAGGAAGCAGGATCAATAAAATTGAGTGTAGATTAAAGGGAAAGAGATGTCTAGAATAATGCCCGAGTGTCTGAGGTTAGAAACCTGCTGGCTTTGGTAACATTCATCTAGATAGAAATAAAGGAAGAGTAGATTTAGGAGTGGAAGAGAAAGGACTATTTGAACATACTGAACTTATTTTTGGACTTCATGGGAATGTCTTGGTAAGTGAGAATAAAAGTTTGCAATTTAGAAGAGAGATCTGGTCCAGAGATGCTGAATGGAGGGTCCTTCAGCATACGGAAGGTAGCTGCAACCTTGGAAAAGTACACCCAGCTATAGCGTGTAGAGGCAGCATAAGGTAAGTCATGCAGTGTGAGGAGAAAAGAATACCAACAGCATCCATAGGAACACCATCATCACGCGGCAGACAAAGAAAGTTGGACGCAGAAAGAAATCTGAAAAAAGGCAGATGGCTAAGAAAAGAACCAGGAGAAAATAAATATTGTAATAGAAATTGGGAGAAAGACTTTCATGAAGGAGAAAGTAGTGAGGACATAAAAAGTAATCAAGAACTTCAGTAAGACAAAGACTATCCTGTAGACAACATGTTGGTGCACTCTAAACTCTCCTCTCTTCTTATAGAGTGTCACCCTGAACTATAGAGCCTGGAAAGCTAAACGTGTACGTCCCAGAATTCTCTTACAGTCCATGCCCTGGCTGCAATTTAAGTTAGGCTGTAACACTGAGAAATAGAATTGAAGCAATGGCCATGCTTCACTGTTTATTCTTACAAGAAGGCCTAAAGGGATGCTTAGGTTTCCTCGGGCCCCTTTGGCAGGTACATCATTGCTCTTTTCTGGGGTGGGATGTAGAGTTTATATTGGTTTTGGAGTTGGCAACAACAGAGGTGACTTTCTGTTTAGAGCATCCCCGTAATTAGGCACTGTGTGGACCTAGAACTTAGAAATTTCCATACAGAAGTGGTGGCAGATCATTTCTGAAGCACAGCTTGGAAAATTGTTGCTACAAGTTTATCCAAGGTCTTGTTTCTTTAACTTTCCTTGTGATTCTGTAGGCCTATTACTATGGTGTAAAATTTCTTTCTGCTTAAACAAGATCAAACAGATGCAACTCTCTGTAACTGAACCGTAATCAGTACAAGGTCTGCAAAATTACATATGTTGGAATTGGTAATGGGATGGTGATTGGTGCTTTACTGAGAGTGGTTTCAGTGCATGAATGGGAAGCAAAAGTCAGACCCCATGGTGATGCAAATAGTTTTCTAACAAGTAAATGACAACTGGTTGTACTGTCTTCACCCATCATGCTCACAAAGTGGGATTAATATGTTCAAGTACATACACATCTGTTAGTGCCTTCTAAGTAGGACAATGTGCCAAATACTCTAACACACAAAGATGACTTTAAAAAGTCTCCTCTGGG